TGTGGTTGTCCAGGAAATGTACCAGCAGGTGTGGCAGAACTAGCTTGGTGTTGTGCTACTTGGGAGATTTGGGTTTCTAACATTTTGTTGTGAGTAGCTAGGGCATCTACCTTGTTTGCTAATAGCTTCAGTTGTTCACCGGTGTGAACGTTTTGATTGAGGAATTCTTTGTTTTGTTGGGCTTGATTAGCGATAAAATTTTCCATTAGGATTTCAAGGTTAGATTTCTTGGGAATGTTAGGAACATTACCAGCGGGTTTTTGATAACCTGGAGGTACAGCAGGTGCTTGGCCAGGTGCATATAAAGCGTTGTTGTTCTTGTACGAGAAGTTAGGATGGTTCTTCCAACCAGGATTATAGGTATTGGCATAAGGATTTCCTTGAGCGTAATTTACCTGATCAGCTGTTATTCCTGCTAAGATTTGGCATTCGGTTCCAACATGACCAGGTACTCCACAAACTCCGCAGCTTAGGGTAACTGCAGCTACGGTAGCTGCATGAGGTAAGGTCAAGCTTTCTATCTTTTGGGTAAGAGCATCTACCTTAGCATTAACCTTATCTAGGCTACTAATCTCGTACATCCCGCCTTTGGCTTGAGTCTTCTCCACAGATGTTCTTTCTCCTCCCCATTGATAGTGGTTTTGAGCCATATTTTCAATGAGTTGGTTAGCTTCGTCATAAGGCTTGTCCATCAGTGTACCACCTGCGGCGGCATCTATAGATAGTCTTGTGTTGTACAAGAGTCCATTATAAAACGTGTGGATTATCAACCATTTTTCTAGTCCGTGATGTGGGCACATTCGCATCATATCTTTGTAGCGCTCTCATGCATCGAATAGTGATTCAGTATCCTTCTGCCTAAATCCGTTGATTTGGGCTCTTAGTGCAGCGGTCTTGCTTGGGGGAAAGTATCGTGCTAAGAATACGATCTTCAGTCCTTCCCACGTAGTGACGGAATTTGATGGCAAGGATTGCAACCAAGCCCAAGCTCTATCTCTTAGTGAGAAAGGGAAAAGACGTAATCTTATCGCATCTTTACTAACACCATTCGCTATAACTGTGTCGGCAAATTGAACGAATTTTGTAAGGTTTTCATTCGGATCCTCAGAAGGATCTCCAGAGAATTGGCATTGTTGGATAGCTGATATCAATGACGGCTTTAACTCGAAATCGTTTCAGTTTATTGTTGGAGCAGCAATGCTGTTATGGGGCTCTTGTTGTGATGGAGCTGCGTACTCCTTCAGTGGACGGGTCCTTTGTTCTTCGGCCATGTCTAATTCTGGATTGGTTTCGGTTTCAGAGGAAGAATTAGAATCAGTTTCAGAATCAATCTTGATTTCTGGTTTGGGTAAAGGAATAGCGTGATTTAAACAGTAATCCCTGACTGCACGTCTTACGGAAAGAATGCGTTCAGGTTCGTCCGTCGATTTGTCAAGTGGTTCGCCTTGTGAGCGAGTCCTTGGCATACAAATCGACAAAGGGTGTCTGTTGCTTAGTCTAAACGCGCAACAGAAGAATCGTAATTAATTGACTACCAGTCCCCGGCAACGGCGCCAAAAACTTGATCGGGACTTTATAAGTCTGTCGGGATAGTAACTGCAAGTATACAGTTCAGTCGTTCTAGTTTTAAAAGATTATCGAACCCACAGAGACTGAGGATCAATCGCATACGATCTAATGCTACAGTTTGTCTAACTAAGCGATGAATATTCGATATTTGGGGGAGACAGTTTAATTTAAAAGTAATAGTACTAATTATACCGGTATGTGATAATCGGACTTAGGGAATTCGATGAATCGCTTGGCCTATAAAGTATTTCGGTAAAAGCTAATTGTTTAAAAACCTGAGACATACACTCTCGTGTTTATGAAATAAGTCATGCTACTAAACCTAGTGGATGCACTTTAAATTTAATAACACTTTTTGAAAACAATTTGAATTTAATTAATTTATTAAAACACTCTCGTGTATTTAAAAATCAATGCTTCGTTACCACTATCTGAGTTGAACCCCAGCTCTCGCATGCAGGTTCTTGCCTTAATTAATTTCCCACTCTCGTGGCAAAATCGTGTTAATTAACCTCCCACTCTCGTGACAAGGATAGTTAAATTAATCTTGGAAATTGGAAACCAGAAATTGTTTTATAAATATTTTTGGCCAAGGTATCATTGAATTCTTTCAGTTCTTACGGTCACATACCGGTATTAATAATTTAGCCAGACATAATTAACTTAACAACAATACGGTTTAAAATATAATTCATGGCAATAATTGGCATATTATAAAAACTGAATAAATAATAATTGCAATATAAAAAACCTGGAATTAAAGATGCTATAGTAATCTTGAGGTAATACAGTAATCCAATCTTCGAGCTTGACTTGCAGTAGAAATTCGTGTTAATTCTTGAAAGAAGAATTAACACTTAAAAATAGAAACTAAAGCCTTGAATGAAAATTACAAGAAAATGAAAAACAGAATTCCAAAATAAGCAAATTGGAAATAACTGTAAAATAAAATAAATATTTGCTCTGAGTAAAATTCTTCGACCCTTGAACTGTGCCTTGGTACTCATATATATAGCAGGAAAAATCAGCAGTTTAATTTGAATTCTTGATGAAGTCTTCGTGGAGAAAATATAGGAGCATTAATAGTGGTGGCAATAAAATAGGAGACTCGGTAGAAAGAGGGAGAACGAGTCTACCCTTCACACCCACGTCTTCAATCCATGCATAACGTCCACCTTCACGCGCTTGACGGTCGTCACAGGTGGGTGACGGTCGTCACACGCTGAAGTGGTGCCTTACGCTCGTCAGGTGTGTGTGACGAGCGTTTCCTTATGTTGTGGGGTGTTACGCCCGTCACAGGGACGTGACGACCGTCACAGATCCAGAAGTCCAATCTTTGTATTTTTTTTATTCTTTTTCTCTTTGTTTTTCGTCTAGCTTTCTTCATGTTGTCCTTTTTCATCGGTTTGAGTCGACAAGTGTTATACCTGCAAAAAGACAAATAATCTTGGAATAATCGGGGGTTAGACGACTTAATGAAATATAAAATCGGTGAAAAGTATGTTAATTATACGATATGTTTTCTCGTTATCATGCCTCTGCCTCGTCCTCGTCGTCCAAAAACTCCACGACCTAGACCCCTCTCTACATATTGAGCATATTGATTATCTTGATATCCATGAGTAATCTGCAAAGCATGTTCTTCTTCAACATGAGAACACATGTGTTGTTCATGAACAAGTAGGTTGCTTTGCAATTCATCAATAGTCAAAGTGTTTGTATCCTTAGATTCCTCAATGGAACAAACGACATAATTGAACTTTGGAATCATGAATCTCAAAAAAATTTCAACTACTATAATATCTCCCTTGTTTTCACCATTAGCTTTCATCTTGTTTCCTATGGTAAGTATTCGAGCAAAATAATCATTCACAAATTCTCCTTCCTTCATATGGAGAGTTTCAAACTCTTTTCTTAGAGCTTGCAACTGTGCGCGCTTGACTCGTGTTGAACCTTCATACTTCTGCTTCAAGGAATCCCATATGTTCTTTGTTGTATCTTTGTTAAGAGTCGTCTCTAGAATTGAACGATCTAATGCTTAAAATAGATGGTTCTTTACCTTCAAATCTTTTAATTTCTGAACATCAATGTTCTTTCTTTGTGCATCTGTAAGAATTACTCCTTCCGCTGCCGCAGGAACCCCATTTTCCACCAGACCCCAAAACTAATTAGAACACAAAAAGTTTTCCATGAGCATCGCCCAATGGTCATAATGCCCATCAAACTTCGGTATTACTGGCTGCACAAATGAACTTTCTGATTTCATAGTTTTTCACACTTAAAAGACTGTAGCTTCTACTTTAATCATGCCCCGTGGTGGGGCTCTGATACCAAATGTTAGGAACTAAAATTTATATGTGAAAGTATAAGGAAATTGACAGAAGGAATATTTGGTATATTGAAAGAAACAACTTGGCTCATATATAGCCTTACAGATGAGAAAATGAAACAAACAAAAAAAACTACCAATGTTTCCACTACTAGCACCAAACTACCCATATTTTCACCCACTACTAGCACCTCCTAATAACATGGTAGACTAATTCAAAAGGAAATAACTAACATAAAACTAACTAACAGTTTTGTAAGAGCTTTTTTTATAGTTTATGACGACTTTGGATTTTAATAAAGTACATTTATTTCTTATTGCAGTGCAATGAATCAATAAAAAACAATGAATAAATCAAAAACAACATAAATAGAATGTAAATTATAAGATGTATATCAAAATAACAAGTTGAGTGATATAAACCACATATCAGCTTAAAATGAATAAGTTTGTTACGTAACCATCTAGAGTATTAGAACTACGGGTGACAAAATAAGTCGTGGCCTGCACACTCGCTAAAAAATGACGGATTAAGTTCGAATTTTGGACCTGCAGTCCACTAAAGTTCCTCGCGTTAAATTTTGTCGTCCACCAAAATCTGCCTCCCGCCAATGCCCACTGCACCTATTCGTTGAGCTTGTCCCACGTTAGGTCCGCTCTTTTTTAGTTAGTTCTAGTAGGTCCAATTTTTTGATGATTTTATTTGATACATTTATTTACGAATATATACAATATTTTTTTAAATAAATTTTGTTAAAAAAAGTGAAAATCTAATTGAAATATAAAAAAAAAAATTAATATATTATTGCATGCAAGTCCGCTCTCTGCTAATCTAATATTTTAACAGAACGAATTAGATTTTTATGTCTATTTTTACTTTGTGAATTTATCTCTTCCAATTTATTTTAATGAGTTTAAGATGAAATGGGACGGAGCAAGATGAACGGTCCATTTTTCACCCTTAATTAGAACCAAACAAATTTCATAACTTGAAAGTAATCCGCCAAAAAAATATGAAACGCAAAAAGAATCTAACAACAAACAAAACAGAATAATTTCTCGAATACAAAAAAACAAACATAAAAAATTCAACACCGACAAATCAATTATTGTTCTCTGCACCGACAAGAATCTCATCAACAAACGTTTGAATATTCCTGTCCGAAGAACCACCGGCAGCAAACGCTTCCCTCGCAGCAAATTTCAACTTCAAAAGATTTTTACTAAACTCTTCAAGCTTTTCTCCTCCAACAATCTCCTCAATAGCCCTTTCAACTTCCTCACTCCCCACAAACCCATCCCTGTCCGGATTCAACCGAATACCGGTCCGGAAAACATCCGACACTAGTTTCGCATTCGTCGGTTGGTCAGTCCATTGTGGATAAGCAATCATAGGCACTCCAGCAGTTATGGCTTCCAACGTTGAATTCCATCCACAATGTGTTAAGAAACATGCTATTGCAGGATGAACCAAAACCCTAGTTTGTGGACACCACGTTACTATCTTTCCTTTCCCTCTTGTTTCTTCTATGAATTTTTCAGGAAGATGAACTTCGTCTCCTTCTTTATGCTTCATCACCCATAGAAAGTACCTGTTACTGTTCTTCAATGCTTTTGCTATGCTGAGCATTTGTTTTTCCTTCAGAAAAATGAGACTTCCGAACGAGATATATATAACGGAAGATGGTGGCTTTTGGTTAAGCCATTCCATGCAAGAATCTTGAGGCTTCCACATTTCGATTCCAACATCTTTGTTTTGATCTTGACCTAGTAACAAAGGAGGAACTAATGGACCTACCGTTTTTATTGGAAAAATCTCAGTCATTGAATCAATCACATCCTTTTCTAATTCATAGAAAGAATTTGCTAAAACCCATTTCAGTTTCTTCATGTTTTTGAACATTTCTCCCAAAACATCGGATAAGGTTTTTACATCGTTTGTTGGAAGAACAAAAGATGGAAGGTCTTGTGGTTTCAGCAACGGGAGACCGGGTATTTCGACGTCGATTTCAGGGTTTTCAAGGGTTGGAAAATGGTTCAAGTTATTGTAGAAACGAGCGTATATGGAGTAAAGAGTACAAGGTTGAATCCAAAGACAAGCACATGGGATATTGAGTTCATAAGCAACGTTTGTTACCCAAGGAACAAAAGGGTTGTTAATAATGCAAGCTAGTTTTTTAGAGCTATTATTGAGGAAATTGTTCTTGATGAGATTTGTGAGGCTAATGGGACCGATTTTTGCTATAAGATTCATGTATTCATCGATGGGTACGGATATATTGAGGAAATTGTTCTTGATATCTAAGCCGTCGGAGAAAAAGAGAACCTCAATTCCATTGGTGGTGTAAGAGGTGGGGACAGCAGTGGTGGTTGGAGTGGTTGTCGATTTGAACATGCGGTGGTAAACTAACTCCGTCGTAGCGAGTGTGACTTTAAGGCCTTTGGTTAATAGTGATTTTCCTAGTCGAAGTAAAGGGTTTATGTGACCTTGGGCTGAAAATGCTACCAATAGAACATGAATTTCTGGTTTGGTTTTTTGGTCTTGTGAAGACATGGTTGGTTTAGGGTGAAGATTTGATTGAATGAAGAATGAATGGGAGATAGTGGAATTTGGATTTGATTTTTGTGTGGTTGTGTTTTTGTTATATAAAGGTATAAATCTTGAAGAATCTTTGATGATTACGCAAGGATGATTTTGGACAAAAATGAATTGCTAACTATTTTCCTTTTGTGCGACGCTAATTAATGTATCCAAATGTACATTTTGAGTAGTTTTAAGAAAAAAAATTGTTTATATTGTTTTTTAATAATATTTATCAAAATTTTTGTTAATAAGTGTTATACTACCTCTGTCTTAAATATTTAAAAATAAGATTCTTTCAAAGTTTGTTAGAATAATAAATTTATTGACTATTTTATATAATTTTACATGTTTATTTTTAGGAAAGATAAATATTTAATGTATATGTAATTGTATTTATTATAAATTGTAAAAAAATAAATAATATAATTAAAAATATGTTTGGAAAAAAGATTAATATACTTTAAAAATTAAAGAAAATTTTAAAAAAGAAGACAAGAAAAAAACTCAAGAAGATCTTATAATTAAGAATGGAAATAATTACTTATAAGGACATATTTTAATGATTGAAAATAAATAAATTATTTTAAAAGTTAATCATTTTAATTTTTGATGAATTTAATATACAAAATTCATGAAAATTTATTTTTAAAGATATTATGTATCCTCCAATTTTTAGTATAAGAAAAAAAAATTATTTTAAGAGAAAATTTGTTTTTATATATATTAAATAATCAATGTACTTGAACTAAACATAGACCATATAAATTAGTTCAACAAATTTAAAAAGTAATTTTTTATAAAAAAAATATATATATAAAATAATAAATGTTGGTCACAATGTTTGGGCTATAAAATACAAAACAAACTAGATCTATTATTGTTATTAGCAACCAAACCATAAATCTAACAATCCAAGGGCCAAAAGAACATAAATAAACTGAAATAATTAAAAGCAAACAAGACCACCAATTTTAGTGCCCAAACCTTCCACCATATGACAGAAAAGTGACTCGATCTTCATCAACATCTATTCTACCTCAAAAATTTTCCTCTCATTTCTCAAGATATTTTTCATAACATCTTCAATAGCTCAAGTTTGCACAAGGATTGACTAGGTCAAGACACCTCCTCAACACTGATGTCTCAAATTAGGGTTTGAGTTTTTATAAGGACAATTGAACTTCTAATACTTCAAATGACTTTCATGGATCATCATGGACCTTCAAAAATGCTCATGTCAAGTTTCAAATCTTGTATCACAAATTCTGCTCAGTCAATTGACCAGATGACCAAAAATCAACTGTACTGACGAAAAGTCAACTGATACGTCAAAAGTCAAACTTTGACTTTTTGTTCAACATTAAGTATTAAAGATCAAAATTCATCAAGACATTCAAGAATATCAAGCTTGATCATCAAAAAGTCAAGAAAGTCAAAAGTCAATTTGAAAAGTCATTTTTTCTAAGTGTTTTGCACATGTTTATTTCATAACTTCATACCAAATTTTCACCATGATGCAAAATGATTCAAAGGAAACTTTTAACATGAAAGTTGTAGATCTTGATGAATTCTGCAACTTTGCATTAGAGGGTTTATGTCCAAAAATGCTTAGATTTGAAGATATAAGCCCGTGAAGACATGACATTTTCATCTAGCACTTAGAGAAATTTTCAACAGATTATGGTCAGGATTTTAGCCCCTGAATACATGACATTTTCATCTAGCATTTAAAGAAATTTTCAACAGATTTTGGTCAGGATTTTATCTCAACTTCTTGGCATTTTTTCACATAGTTTCAAGATGATTTTGTCAAAATGACCAACATGAAAGTTATAGAGGATGTTTCAAGTTTTCCAAAACATCTAAGAGCATGAATTTATCATACTTGAGCTAGGAGATTCAAAGGCATGAAGTTTGGCATCCATTCTTAAATTGCAAGTCTTTATGTTGAAGAACACATAACAAAATCCTTATGCTATGCTGCATAATCTTGTGTTGCAGGTCTTCTAACTTGACAATCTCACCATAAGTTAATGCTTACACCTACTTTTGAGATATTAACCAAGTGTTATAGCCATTGTCTAAAATATCTTTCCATTTATAGTATAAAGGCATCATTGCTATTCATGAAAAGCAAGCTTGTTGGCACAAAACTTGTCTTAAGCCCATACCTTGTTTGCTTATGATTTTACTCCATCATAAATCATGGAAAGTAGCCCTTCTATACAAGCAACTTTGATACTTCATCTTGAAATTATAGAATACTTGACATAGTTTGATATTTGCATCCCAACAAAACCATAACATGCTGTCTTGTAAACATATTCAGCCTTTGTTCACAAACCTTTTGCCTATAAATATAGGGAGTTGTAACACGGTGGGAGAACTGACTTGATTGTTTTATGTTTTATCACAAATGTTGTAGTTAGTACGAGTCGCCACCGACTTTTCTTTTATCCAAAAGGAAAGGCTAAAAAGAACAGGAAAGACCTTTGAGATTGTTTTTTGAGTTCGTGGGGTAGATTATGAAAAGGGAAGATATTAGCACCCTTTTCATCCGTAGTTATCTACGGGCTCTTAGTTGCTTTCTAGATCACTTGCTTTTGTTTGAAAATGTGCTTTGTGTGGTTTTTGAAAGTATTTTTGAAAAGGCGTCATCGTTTAGGAAAACTTTGTAATAGTTTTCGTTCGTAAGAACGCGTACAAAGTGTTAATCTTTTGAAAATGTTTCAAGTTTGAAAGATGTTTTGAAAGTGTTGGTGTTTATTTTGAAAATAGCAAGGATGTTTTGATTTGAAAATGAGCAAGCAACTAGGAACATTCTACCTACTCAAAAGTCTTAGTTTATTTCTTCCTTTCCTTTGATATTGTTATCTTACCATTGCTTTGGTAAGAAGCCTTATCTTTGGATGTAAAGGGACGGGCATGGGACATCGTATAGCCATGATAGCAATGTTGTGAAATATATTAGCAATTCTCTTTGAGGGACTAAGATCATTTTAAAAGGCAACATTGATAGCGTCATTGAGGGACTATGATCTTGTATTTTTAGATTGCTTTTGCTAAGATATTCCACATGCCTAACATGGCTATTTTTGTAAGGAAACAAAGTGGATTTACTCTAAGGGTGTAAGTGTGCAAGTGTGTTGATTTACTTACATTATTTTATCTTGAATTAGGGTTTGCTAACTTTTTGATTTTAATCTTTCCATACAAACCCTAATTTACTAGCATTTATATATAAAGCATTAAATTACGGAAAATAAAAATACTAAGCTATTACGTCAATAGGGGAGGGGGTGTACATATTTACAAATGGGGATTTGCAAGAAAATTAAACCTAAATATATATTACAACTATTTTGAATATTGTACAAAATTGAAAAGAAAATAATGCAAGAATGTAAATGAAAAAAAAGAAATGATTTTGTTTTGGTTTTTAAGGGTTTTAACCTAATGTCTAAGAAGGTAAAATAATTAATTAGAGATAATAATATTAAACCTAAATTGGTTAAGAAAAGAAAATTAGGTTAAAAAAATTATTTTTTTAGGATTTTTTATATGAAAGGTTTTAAGTTAATAAAAATGAAATAAAAATTAAATAATTAAAATAAATCTAAGTTATAAATTAATTTTAATTTTAAAAAAACAATAAATAAACCTAAGTCTAAATATTTATTAAAAAAAATAATTTTGTTTGTTTAAGAAAATGTTTTTTTTTGTCTTTTTGCATTTATAGAGAAAATGAAATAAATAAGTGTAAATAATAAATAAAAAATATTTTTATATTTTTTTATTAAATAAAAAATAATAACAATAATAATAATGATAATAATAATAATAATAATAATAATAATAATAATAATAATAATAATAATAATAATAAAAGTATAATAAAGAAAAAAGAAATAAAATATAATAGGAAAAAAAGAAATAATAAAAGAAAATGGGCCAGAGGTGCAAAAGTAGTCAGGGGGTTAAAAAAAGAAAAAAAGTGGAAAGCCCAATGTGGAGGTCCAGGCGCTGCTTGCTGAAACAAAAAAAAAAGAGTAAAAATGTAAAAAATGAACAAAAGGTAGCGCACTGGGTGTTGAACCCACACCCTCTTGATTACCACCGTGCTGCCTTACCACTGGGGTGGCTATACATCCGTTTATTTATATCAAAACATAAATATATATTAGAAACTGCTTCCTGAAGACAACTTCATCTTCAACCTCGCGCCTAGCCAGACCACCTGCATCTTGTTCATTTCTCATCCATTTGTAAAAGTGTAAACATGAATCCTGTGGCAAATTTCCTCACGATTTCAGAAATGTAAAGCATTAAAATTAAAGATCAAAGGCAAGCATGAATTTTATTGGCCCTAATCTGAAACCTAAAAATTTCAGAAACTTCAACTCCAAAATTCTCTAAGCTCAAGCCATATAAATGCAAACTATGGATATGTACAGCTTCGTGGTAATGGTATCTACATTTTATCTTTAAAAATGGAAGCCTAACAATGCCTATATGAATAGTTCAAACGTCAGAAAACTCATGTTGCAAGAGGGTATCGTGTTTTGAGTTTGAGAAGCTTTCAATGAGTTCTAGTGATTGGGTTAGCTTCCTCAAATTCCCAAGAAGCTAATGTGATGTTTGGCTTGAGCTGAAAGTGGATGAGGAGTTCTAGAGAAGTCAAGGTGCAAGGTGCTGTTTTTGAAAATGGTGGATGATGATGGAGGTGTTACAGTTGTGTTGCAGGTGTTAGAATTGTTTGTATATGTTATTTAGAAGCTTTTGAAAGTAAAAGGCCAAGAAACGCACGAGCAAATTTAGAGATTGGGTTCAAAACTCAGAAATGGTAAGTTTTGAGATGTTTTTGGTGGTTCTATGCTTTAGGGAGTTTTCAGGGCTTAAGCATGCGTGTGTTAGCTTGAAAATGAATTTTATATTTATAAGTAAGAGGCCTTGTATGTTACAACAAGCCA